CCACGGCCCACGGAACGGGCCCCCGAGCGATCCAGCGCAAGAACACTCCGACCCCCAGACGTCCCGGGACCCAGGACGGCCGACGACTCGACGACGACAACGGAGGCTACGACGACGACCGACGACAACGACGGCGACGACGACGAAGGCGACGACGAACGACGACGACGACGACGATGACGATGACGACGACGGTGGCGAGGGCAAGGAGGGCGACTGGCGACTGCGGCGACACTGCGGGCGCGACGCAAGTCGCCAACAGGTCGCCGGCAGGCGAGCGGCGGCCCAGCTCAGAATCCGACTCGGGACTCGGGAACTCCAAGTCCACGCGCGCCACCTGGGGAGGCGGGGGGCCGAGATTCTCTCGGACCGAGATGATGGGGAGGAAGGGGCGGGGGCAAGAAGTGGGAGAGGAGATGAGGGGGAGGGGCGTGTAACGGGGGGAGGGAGTGGCGGGAGAAGCAAGAGCAGGAGGTGAAGTCGCAGCTGCAGGGGAGGCGAAGGCAGGAAATGCAGGAGGGGGGCGCAGCGGGCCAGCGTAAGCAGGAGAGGCAAAGCAGAATGAGGCAAGGCAAAGAAAGAGACAAGGACGGGAGCGGTGAGAGAGGAAGAAGGGAATCAGGGGATGAGGCAGGGAGACGCGGGGGGAGGGGCGATCCTCCTCCTCCAGGGCGAGGGGAAGGAGAGGAAAGGAAGAAGAGGATGGGGGATCAGGAGGAGGACGGAAGACGAGGGAGAGGGAGAGGGATAAATGAGGAGGGGGAGGGGAAAGTAGAAGAGGAGGAGGAGGAGGAGGAGGAGGAGGAGGAGGAGGAGGAGGAGGGGGCCTTGAAGCTGCACCGCCACGCGGCCATCCGCCATCCTAGCACAGCTTCACCGCTGTCTTGGAGCTCACCAGGATGGCGAGGAGCTCCAGGTCGCCCTGCACAGGAGAAGTGAATTGAGGATGAGAGATGAGAACGAAGAGGGTCAGGAGAGAGGGGGAAGGAGGAGGAGGAGGGGGAGGAGGAGGAGGACAAGGCGGAAGAGCAGGGGGGGGAAGGACACGGGGCCGAGGGGGAGGAGGAGGGTGAGGAGGAGAGCGAGGCGAGAGAGGAGGACGAGGAGGACGAGGAGGAGGAGGAGGCGAGTGAGTATCGGCGATCAGGAGCAGGACGAGGAGGAGGAGGAGAAGGGGAGGGGGAGGGAGTAGAAGGGGGAGCAAGGCAGGGGAAGTGGGATGCGGGGAGGAGCAAGAAGAAGAGGAGGAGGAGGAGGGGGAGGAGGGCGACATGGTGGAAGGGGGCGAGCAGGAGGAGTAGGAGAAGGAGGAAGGAGGGGAGGGCGCCTTGCCGTACCACGACGACGAGGGCTCCGCGTGGTTCTTGTAGTGGGCCCGCATGACGCAGGTGAAAGTCCGCGCCGTGACGTTCTGCCACTTCCGCTCGTTGGCGATGAGCCGACGAGGGGGCAAGAAAGGACGGCGTGAAGGAGCAGGGGGGAGAAGGGGGAGATGGAGGGGGGGGAGGATGAGGAGGGGCGGAGGGAGACGGTGGAGGGGGGGGAGGGAGGATGAGTAGGAGGAGGAGGAAGAGGGGAAAGAAGGAGAGGTTGAGGAGAGGGGAAGAAGAGTCGGAGGGGCAGGAGGAGGGAAGCAGTAAAGAGAGAAGATGGCGAGGGAAAGGTAGGAAAGGAGAAAGGAAGGAAAGGGGGGGAAGGGGGAGGAGGAAAAGCAAAGGAAAAAGATGGAACCGATCTTGCACGTGCACGGGCAGGTACGTGTACGCATCAGGGCAGTCCCACGCCAGGGCCCGCTGAAACCGCTTGGGCCACGGGGCACTTCAGCTCGCGGTCGAAGGCCTGGAGAGACATGCGAAACAGAAGGAGTCACGGTCCGTCGAGCCGATCGAGGAGCGCCGGCCGGAGGCGCCCCTCGATCGTCTCAAAGGAGTGCCCTCCATTTCGTCTGTCGGACCTTCCCCGTGGCTTTGCGGACGAGCGGGCTCCTCTCCGGCAGGGTGCCCGTCCTGCATTGGAGCCAGCGCGACGCCCCAGGGGAGGCCCTCCCCCTCCTTAGTCCTCCGTCATGTCCTACCGTCGCCCATGGCCGCCTCATCATCGAACATGTCCTCCTCCTCCTCCTCTCCGCCTCTTGGCTCTAGAGCAACCTCGTCCTCCCCCTCCTCCTCGCCCCAGCCCTGCTGTCCACCCCCCCACCCCGCCCCCCACCCCCCCCCCCCCCCCCCCCCCCCCCCCCCCCCCCCCCCCCCTGTTCTCACCCCGCTCACCCCCCTCCTCGTCCTCCTGGTAACCCGCATTCCCCCCCCCCCCCCATCCCTCTTCCACCTCCTCCTCGCTCCTCCTCCCCCTCCTCCCCCTCCCCCCCTCCTCCTCATCCTCCTCCTCCGGGGGCGGGTGGTGCGCGGGGGCGAGGGCCCCCCGCCTCCGGGGGTGGACTTGCTACGTGCCCGGAGTCCTGGCTTGGTGCTTGCTAATCATGGAAGCGGCCCGCATGTAGACCCTGCCCAGGTGGTAGAGCGCCTTCGGAAGAAGCGAGAGAGGCGCAAAGGAAATGCATATGGGGGCGAGGCGGAGAAGGAGGCAGTGAAGAGGCGGAGGAGAAGGCTGAGGAGGCGGAGGGGGAGACAGGGGAAGAGGCGGAGGAGGAGGGATCAGAAACGGGCCAGGAGGGGGGCGAAGTGAGGAGGCAAGAGGAGCGGGGAGAGATGGGGGACGGGGCGGGCGTGGAGTAGGAGGTGAAGGAGATGCGAGGATGACAAGACAACGGGGAGGAGGGTGAAGAGCGGGGGGAAAAGGAGGAAGAGGAGGAGGAGGAGGAGGAGGAGGAGGAGGAGGAGGAGGAGGGGGGGAGGAGGAGGCGGCAACCGCGGGGCAAGAGGGCGAGGAAGAAGAGCAGCAGCAGGAGCCCGAGGTTGACCTTCGCGGGGTTCCTCAAGCACAGCATCACCTTAGCGGAACAGCGGGCCCGTATATCTATCGGGCGGCCACCCGCCCGATAAGCTGGATGCTGATCTCTCTCTTTCTCTTTCTCTTTCTCTTTGAATGTATCTCTCTCTCTCTCTCACTCGCTCCCTCTCTCTCTCTCTCTCTCTCTCTCTCTCTCTCTCTCTCTCTCTCTCTCTCCCCCCCCCCCTCTCTCTCCACTTTCTCTCTCTCTCTCTCTCTCTCTCCTCTCTCTCTCTCTTCTATCTCTATCTCTCTCTCTCTCTCTCTTCTCTCTTCTCTTCCTCTCTCTCTCTCTCTCTCTCTCTCTCTCTCTCTCTCTTCTCGCTTCTCTTCTCTCTCTCTCTCTCTCTCTCTCTCTATTCTCTCTCTCTCTCTTCTTCTCTCTCTTCTCCTCTATCTCTCTCTCTCTCTCTCTCGCTCTCTTCTCTCTCTCTATCTCTCTCTCTCTCTTCTCTATCTTCTCCTCCCTTTCTCTTCTCTCTCTCTGCCTCTCTCTCTATTATGAAATATAATAGCGGGCCCGTAGACCCGTAGATCTATCGGGCGGCCACCCTCCCGAGCAACGGATGCAGATCTCTCTCTCCTTCTCTCTCCCTCTTCTCTCTCTCTCTCTCTCTCTCTCTCTCTCTCTCCTCTCTCTCTCTCTCTCTCTCTCTCTCTCTCTCTCTCTCTCTCTCTCTCTCTCTCTCTCTCTCTCTCTCTCTCTCTCTCTCTCTCTCTCTCTCTCTCTCTCTCCCTCTCTCAGGCCGATCCGGCCAGGGGCCGGGGGCCGGGGCGCGAACTCGAGCGATGAGACAAGGTGATCGTCGCGATCTGATCGCACCATCGGTTGCGAGCCAAGGTCCCAAGGTGCCATCCCGTGGTCATTGCCATTGTCCCTCTCCCCTCGCTGCTAGCCCGCCCACCTCCCTCGCCCTGCCCCCCGTCCTCCCTCCCCGCCCCCGCCCGAGCAGCCGTTCCCCATGTCCTCATCCCTCCCTCCTCTCCCCTGCCACTCCTCCGCCCAGCCGATCGCTGCGCCAAAACTGAGATCTGGGCCCATCGTCGGCCACGAGAGCTCAGCATGGCAACCGCCGCGACAAGCAAGAAACAAGTCGCGTTGAGCGACGCGGAGAGGAAGGGGTCGGGCCCCTGGGCACGGCCAGCGCGGCCGACCAGCGAAAGCTGAGGGGGGGGGGGGGAGGAGCGGAGCGGAAGAAGGACGGATGGGGGCGGAGGTAAGGGGGCAGGGGAGGATAAGTGGAACGGCGAGAAGGACGGGGGCAAGAGAGCGGGGAAGGACAAGGTCAATGAGATCGGAGATGAGGGCAAAGGGCGGGCAGAAGGAAGAATGAGAATGAACGGGCAGGAGGGAAGGGCCAGGAAGCTGGAGTCGGAGGGGGACGTTGAGCGAGGAAAGTCAGGAGAATGAGAAGGGGTAGGTAGGATGGCTGATGGCGGCGAGCCCGCCACCTCACTCGCAAACCTCCCCCTGGACCCATGGCCCCAAGAGCTCGAAGAAGGGCATCCCGACCTTCCGCCGCGGGCATAAGCCACTAGCGATTCGAGCCCAATCCGTTCATGGCGACTCCGAGCCCAGCGACGTGCGCACGATGGGCCCGAAAACAATCAACCCCGAGCCCTCGAAGCCCGCCGCTCCCCATCCAGCTCGCGCCTCATCGTCCTCCACCTCATCATCCTCCGCCACATCATCCTCCGCATCCGCCGCCCCCTCCCCAACTTTGTACTGGCCCTCCCCCTCGCCCCGCTGCTATCTTGCAAAAGACCGACGGGACATGGGACATGGGCCATGGGGGGCTTTGGCCTGTGCGGCCCCAGGGCCCTGGGTCGAACTGATGGGACTGGCGCGGGGCCCGGGGTCGACCTGCGGCCAAGCCAACAACAAAGGCCGCTGTAAAGTAAGAACGCGAGGAAGGGAGGGGAGGTGGACATGCGTTTTCCCTACAACGGACCCCCAAAGAGAGACGCTCCCTGAACGTTCCCGAGCGCACCCTCGCCCCCGATACTTCGGAGGCCTAATCGCTGGTCGAACTCAGACTGTCGTCCGCCAGATCCTCGGAGCTGCTCTCGTCGACCACCCCCCCTCCGTTGTCTGGGGCCTGGGTGTCCTGGGCCTGGCCGGGCTGCTGGCTGTCTGCGTCGATGACGATGGTCTCCTGGCTGAGGTACTTCCCAGACACCGCCATCCGGGCGATCTGAGCTGCCGCGTACGAGTAGGCCGACCACGCGTTCCCCGCCATATCTCCGATGAGGTCCGCGTATGTGGCCTGGTTCAGCTTGGGGTCGAGGTCGAGGTCGCCGATCTTCTGCAAATCGAAGTAGTGATGCGCACGGAAGTTTTCACTCCACCCGACACACAGCAAGTACTCCAAGGGCTCCAGCAGCCGCGCAATGCACACAGTTGGCGAAGACCCAGGCTTAATATACCTCACTGCAACCTTCCCGCTGCCAACCAACGTGCCAGGAGTAGTTCTCCACGGGCTCTTCTTGAACGACGTGTAGTCCGAATCCATGTCCACGCAACTTTGAAGCAGCCGCGGGAGCGAGGTGTTGATCTCCACGAACTCTGCCTTGTGCGCGCAATCAAAGGGGAACCTCTTGTGCAAGAAGTACAGGGACTCCCGCTCACGCTGATAAAGACCATCTGGCAATACAGTCTGACCGAACTGCTCCCAGTCGACAGGCCACGCATAATGACTCGCAGTGAAAATCTCGTGGTGGTCCGTCTTGTAGTCGGGGGCGGTTGCCTTCGAGGCGAAAGGTTACCGAGGGGGAAAGGGCTCCGCGGGGAGCTGGATTAGGATTAGGAAATGCTGCATTGTCATTTTGGCGTTCCCCAACCCCCAGGTAACCTTCACACCCTTCGCCTGGCTGATCATGGGGCCCGTGCCCGCGTACGTGGGCAAGCCGCACATCCTGGACACCGTCTCCCTATCCCCATCGTCCATGTAGAGGAATGTGTTGGTGCACTCGTCGACTGTCATCTCCCCGATGTTGAAGCTGTGCAGGACCTCCAAGAAGAAATGGCTAGCCTCCTCGTACTTCTCCTTGGGGATGTCCTTGATAGCTACCCAATAGATGCGCTCGCGTGGCACTGGAGACCCCTGCTGCGATGCCTGCACCACGGTATGGATGCACCAGTAGCCCCTGGCCGTCACCTGCTGGGTTATCCATTCAGCGTCTGAGGTGGTGCAGCCGTCGCCTACCTGAAGCAACTGGGTGATGCACTCCAACATGATCTCCTCGGGCCAATTCTGCTCGATGATCTTGAAAATGCAATTCACGGCCTTCCCAGTCGCAGCCGAATTCGTCTGGCAGCAGTTCAGGTTCTCGCGGCACTTGACGCTCAAGGGGCAGCGGCTGACGCAGGGGAAGCCGATGTCGATGCTGACGAAGTGGGGCACCACCCGGTCGGCCCCAGACACGGTATCGAAGGCCTTGTCTTTCTGCAGCCCCGCCATGTCGCCCACGATGAAGGTGGCGTCCGCGAACTGCTGCCTGATGAACGCCCGCTTCCTGGGATTCAGCTCGGACCGCAACGGATGCACGCTGCAGAGCCCTATGTCATAGGTGCGCTGCAAGAACTGTTCCAAGACGGGGTCGATCTTCGCCTTGATGCCCATGCCCGTGCACGCCGACGCTCGCGTCACCACGCCGCCGTGGCGACCCGCGTAGGACTTCAGTGCGCTCACGAGCGCCAGCTCTTTCATCACGGGCATGCGCGCGAAAACCTTCTCCAAGGTCTGCTGGAAGTGTGTCTGCTTGGGCTGGTCGAAATCTTCCATTCGCTGCCCAAGAGCCTCCCGGTGCGCCCAATCGCCGTCGATGCCATTCGTATCGCCCTCGATAAAGGCGGCCTCGTCGGCGACCTGCGTGCCCTCTGGACCAGCCTGTGGAGTTGCGCAGTCCTTCGGCGCGGGGGCGAACAAGATTCTAATTAAGGGGCCCAGGATCACGGGCCCGACTCCTCAAGTACTGAGCGGCTGGGTGGCAAGGACATCCGGGGGGGGGGGGGAGGAAGGCGGGGACGAGGAGAGGCGAGCGACGGGCGGCCCGTCGGCCGAGCTCCCAGCATTGGGTTTGCTAAGCAGCCGAGCGGCCGCGGCGACGATGGGCTCAAGTTACCCAATGGTTCGGCGCGCCGCCCGAGCCCTTGGGCCCTCGGGCCACGCCCCCGATACCCGACCTGAACATAAGATAGCGCCTGAAACAGAAAGCCAAACTATCATAGACGGCCAAGCCAAGCCCGAGACCCCCGCCACAAACGAAGCGGCTGATTCTGACTGTTGGGGGGACCAGAAGCACCCCACCACTTCCTTCCCGCTCCTCCCCCTCCCACCTGCCATGCCTTGCCCCTCCTCCTCCTGCCTCCTCGTCATCTCCGCCTCCCACTCCTCCACCGCCACCGCCATCTCCTCCTCCTCCTCCTCCTCTTCCTCCTCCTCCTCCTCATCATCATCATCATACTCTTCCTCAGCCGCCCATCCTGCAGCTGGTCGGAGTCGTTGCCCGTGGACTTTTCGCTCTCGGAGTCGCTGTCATGGATGGGCAAGACGACTTCCTGGGCGGGGGGGGGTGCCGGGCGGGCGGGCGGCTGACCGTGGGGCCCGAAGCAGATGAGGGGGTAAGGAGGGCCGAACGAGAATTGAAAACGCCGATCAGATAAGACCACATCAAAGCACCGCAATAGCAGCAAGGGCCCCCAGAAGCCCGCCGGGGGAAAGCCTCAATATGCTGAGAAGTCGAATGCTTTCTCATCATTGCAAACATTTTCAGCGCTCGCGCGGCAGTCAGAGCCAGAGCCGCCACTAGACGAGCGCGACGCCAATCGCGTCAGCGACCGCGACGGCGTCGTCGCCGGAGGAGAAGGCCACGACGTCAAGGGCGGCGTCGACGGCTGAGGCGAGATGCGGGGCACACTCGGCTGGCGGCGAGGCCACTGCGGGTTCTTGAGTCGACGGGCCGCCAGGAGGCGGCGACGCGTGAAGCTCAGGTATCCAGACTGACCAACTTTATCTTCGAGTACCTCCGTCGTCGTAGATGCTGTTGGCGACGGAAGTCTCAGGACGCCCTCCGGCGTCGGCGCAGAGGTCGGCAAGATCTCCTTCGTCGGCGACGGCAATGCTAGCGGCGCTGAGAGCGACGCGATCTCCTCCTCCGTCGGCGACGGCAGTTCTGTTGGCACCGAGGTCGGCGACAGCCTCGGCGACAGCGCTAAGGGCGGCGACGGCCCGCGCGGCCCGCGCGGAGGAGACCGCACGCATGCTCCAATGGCCCGACAGAGATCGGGCCTCGACTCAAAGTCCTTATCGAACTCGGCCGCCATGTCAATGTCGAATGGCAACGTTGGGTCAAGCGGCGCCAACTGCATGCATGGAGGCGGCGTGGCCTCGCGTGGCGAGGAAGAGGAGATCGAGATAGCACGGCGCCCGCGCAGTGCCGCTCGCGCCGCCTGCTGACGCCGCCAGAGAGGCCCGCCGGCGCGCCGGCGCCTCCATAGGGGGCCGCCTCCAGAGCGGCCCGCCGGCCCGCCGGCGCGCCGACCGCGCGACCGCGAGCGCGCCATGGGCCATAGGCAATGGCGCTCGAATCAAAACGGCAACCCGCACAGCCGCCCGGAGCCCTCAGAAGTCAAGAGGCCCGAGGGTCCACTGGGCTCCTCAAGAATCCCCAGAATATCTCATGGGGGCCTCTAGATCTCTAGAGACCCCAGGGGGCCCAGGGGCAATGGGGAATCCTAAGAATGCTGCAGGAGCCCTCGAGAGCCCTAAAGACGCTAGAAGAACCCTCAGAAGTCCTTTGCAATCGTCAGGAGAACTTAAGACTCCCAGAAAGCCTGAGGAAGCATGGGGAGGCCCCCTCGGAGTCCCACAGGAGTCGGCAGGGCTCCGCTGGAATCCTTGGGAAGCCTCGGGAGGCCTCGGGAGTTCTTAGGACCCCAGGAGCCCGCGGGATCGACGGGGTCCCTTAGGGGCCTCGAGGGGTTCTCAAAGGTCTGCGGGAGACCTCCGAATCTCTAAAGGGCCCGAAGGACTGCTCTGGATAACCCAGGGGTCTTCAAGAGCTCAGTCGTCTAAGGTATCCCGTAGAAACCTGGACCCCCCATGATGCCATAAGAGCCTGCAGGCGCCCTCAGCAAGCGCAGGTGGCCTCACGATGCCTCAGGATGCCCCAGGAATCCTTGGGGGGCTTAAGTAGTACAAAACGACAGCTCAGGAATCCGCGAGGCGCCCCCAGTGTCCCAGAATCCTCTGGTGCACACAAATTACAAAAAAACTAAATTATTTCGAGCAATTCAGAAGTTGGGATTAAATAATATTTTCTTTTAAAAATTGATTAAAATTAAATTCAAATAATTTAAAAACCGCATTTTTGAAAATACCGGAAAATACCGGGGGCTAAAAAAATATGCAACAGTCACAGGGAACGCAATTTTTGAAAATACCGGAAAATACCGGGGAGGAAAAAAAATAATAGTTTTTTTTTTATAAAAACAAAAATAAAAAAAATGATTACTATATAATTTGCGCTTTTAAAAAATAAAACGAAAACTTAAAATATTCTGACAAAAGAAACCGAAATTCACCCTGGTAACAACAGAACATGTTCGGGACCTGCGGGGCGATCTGAGGAGCCTCCCGGATCTCTGTGGCCTGTGAGACCTGTGGGGCCTGGTGGGATCTCTTGGGCCTCTGCGATCCCGGGGATCTCTGGGGCCTAGTGAGATCTCTAGGGCCTACAACACCTATGGACCTAAGTGGCCTGCGGGGGATGGGCTGCGGGGCCCGTGGCCCGTGAGACCTTCCAGATCTGGAAGGGCCGCCCCCCCCTGGGGGGGTGCGACCGCGACTCGCCGCGACCGTCCATGTCGATCCCCCCACCCGCCGCCGTGGGGAGGCCGATGCCGCCGCGACGGCCCCCCCCCCCCCCCGCCCACCGAACCATTTTGTGCCCGAGCGACGCTCGAAACATAAGCTCCTCCAACTCTTCCCAAGCGATGGGCCGAAGAGGGCCCCCTCGATCGCCGCGACGGGCCGCGAGGACACGAGGATCCCCCGATAATCATCGGAGGGCCCCTCGCGAGCACCAAGTCGGCCGACGCAAAATAAAAACAATATGGCCCCAAGAGGGCCCTATGGAGCGCCAAGGGCAAATCCTGAGCGAACAAGTGCAAAAGCATGCTGTCGATGTTTCCACTACTCGTCCCGCGCGATATTCCGCCTCACCCATCCTCCGACTAGCCACTGCCCTCCCTCCTCCGTCCTTCCCGTCGTCATCCTCACCCCCATGCCCCGCCCACCGCCTCCTCTCCCTCCCTTGCAATCGCGCATCGTGAATCTATCCCTCTATATAGACATATATGCATAGATCGCGTTCCTATGTCTATCTCTCTCCCAGACTCTCTCTGTCCCTATGCCTCTCTCCCTCCCCCTCCCTCTCTCCCTATCTCCATGATGTGGATGATGCTGATATGGCGATGGCGCGATGGTTGGTTGCGGCGCACGGTCCTCATTAGCATTAGCGCCGGCGAGGGCGAGCACGCCATTGTCCAGCAAGACGTCGTAGATGAGGAACCTGGGGAACCGATGTTTTGTAGTGTCGGCGGGGCTTTGACTCCCATTTGGGGTACGTGATGTGTGAGGGGTGTTGCGTGGTTAGTGTCCGTCGGAACCTGAGCTTGGGGTGGTGACCGTATGTATGCGTCCATTCCTGCCATATCATTACGACCGACTTTGGGTCCTCTTCCCCTGGTGAGGCGGAGCCCCATTGCGGTGCGAACCAAGTCTGCGGCACGACGCCATGCGATGGAAAGAACCACGCATCTAGCGGTTGTAACTCGGGGAGCGGGAGCTCCACCCATCCGGGGGCCCACCAATATCTCGGTCCATGGGTGGACCCCTCCATGGGCCAAGAGGGGCAGCGGGGCTGCCGCCGAATCGAACGCCGCACGTTATACCACTCTGGGTCCGAGCCCACAGGACCTTCCAGGCTTTGCCCCGCGCGCATCCGAACATGCCTCGTCGACGGAGCGTCGAACAAGTCCAAGCCCGCGACCGTTCCAGGCGGCCAAACGCCTAGGCGAGACGCCCCTCTCGCTGGCCCAAAAGGTTCCCTTGGCCAATTCCGCGCACCCTGCAACCAAGCTGGCCTCACGGCCTCGATGGGAGGCGCCTCCATCGGCCGCCGGGGGCCGCGGCGCTGCTCGAGCGCAACGCTGGTGACGATGACGATGATGATGATGATGATGATTATGATGCTGATGAGCAATGATGGCGCGCGTGCGTGCGTGCGCGTGTGTCTCTAACTCTCTCTCTCTCTCTCTCTCTCTCTCTCTCTTTCTCTCTTTCTCTGTCTCTCTCTCTCTCTCTCTCTCTCTCTCTCTATATATATATATACTCGCTGGAAATATGCGCCCCATGATACGCAGAGTGCGGGTCGGGGACCGAGCAGGAGGATCAACGAGGAGCGGAGAGAGGCGAGGGTCGACAAGGCGGAGGAGCATTCGACGCCGCCGACGACGACGACGATGACGACGCAGACGACGGCGTCCCAGACGTCGACGAGGACGACGACGGCGACGACGACGACCTCAGCGGGACGACGCTGCGGACTTAGCGAGAAGCCCCACCTAAGCATGGGCATCGGTGATCTGTAATCGGGGCGCTCTGTAGGCGATGGGGGGGATCGGCATGAAAAGCTTTGGAATAGAAAGGGTTGCGATGGAGGGAGACAACGATTTTGAGCTACTGGCCTCACGACGCGAGCTGGCTGATCGGCGTCCGTAGCTCTATGATGCTCTTATGGCCGCACGACCAGCATGCTGGGCGCGCTAGCAAGGAGACGCTATGTGGATGCGATCGCGTCTCTCGCCCAGCACCACTGCCTCGAAGCTGTGCGCAAGGCCCTG